AATACGCCTGACCTTCTGAAGATTTCTGCGAAACTCTAATAAGTAAGGACTACCTGAAAACAAAACAAAACAAACAAATCTGAAAATCAGTAGAGTAATTCTTCCCTTATATCACTTTTGCTTACTTCCCATCCTTTAGGAAACAATGATTTTGGAAGCCATTCATCACTGAAACGTCCTGTCATCACTTTTTCAAAAACCTTCCACAGAAAGACAGAGATTTAAGACGGTGGAGTAAAGTCTTTGCTTAATCCTATTAACATTTAAGTATTTCAGTCAACAAAAGACGGCAATTGGACGGGGCTAGATGTCAACTTCCTGAGAGTCATGCCTTTCATCACACAGTCTCAGTTGCACTGATGTGTTACTGAACAGTAGTAAACAGACCAGAACAGTGAAAGTACCTGACACAATCTGGGAGCTCTATAAACTCCAAATTTTTATCTTCTATGGCTGCAAAAGGAGTAACAGAAAATTAACAGCAAGGAATGATTTCCTGAAGACTGGACTGATAACAGTGTATTTAAGATGCGTGTGACAAGACCCATTAGCCAGTAGAAAATGGCAACTGTGAGGTCTGTGTGTTTGCATGTGACCTGAAACAGTTAAAAATACTGATATTTAATCATCATAACCATGATGAGGCATAAAAAAAAATAATTAAACAAAAAACCCCAACTTTTGTTTTCCCAATACCACTTGGCAGACAAGCATATAATAAGTGCATCTGCTGGAAGTGCTTATGCTTAATAAACGTTAACATTGCTAAATTCTGCCTGCATCTTTCAGTGCAAATGTATAGACAGGAAGGAAGAAGTAGTTTCGAGAGGTTTTCTGCTAGAAAGCCAATCTGGAAAGTCTGCTTAGTTAGGTAGTTATTTGGCTATCAATTCAGTGGTGCCTGAAAAGATCGACTTGCTATTTATTGCAAAGGAATGGCAGCAAGGCAAAAAAACCTAAGAAGTGTCTTCACGAACCATGTAAGAAAGTAATCTTTACCAGCAATACCCACATGGTGGAATACTCCATTCAGCTCTTCATTCAGTTTCCTGGCAAGCTTTCAAACAAATTCTTCCAGGTCCCTTCAACACATCTGTTCCTGTTGCACTAAAGTGGGTGAGGGAAGTACTCCCGGTCAACAGAGAACTCACGTTTTCCACAGGCGTTAGGCAGACATGATGAACACATATATATCTCATGTAAGTTTTGCAAAGTGAACTGTGGCCCCCATCCATAAAAGTTGACACAAAATCAGTTTCTGATGAATTTCAGATGATGAATTCTTCCATAAAAGTATAAGTCTGGGAGAAAGACAAGCAATTCAAAACCAACTGGTCTTCACGAGGCACATTTACAATCCTAAAAGAAACATTTGGCTCCATTATTTGTACGGGCTGTCATCATGCCTCATCAGATTGTCCAACCAGTTCTGCCAACTGGAAGAGCAAAAATATTTTTGCTTAATAGCAAACCTCAGCTGTGATGTGGCAAGGTGTTCACTCTCTCACAATATTCAGGGTGAGTTTTGCTGTCATCAGCATTCCATTTTGCACCCTGCCACGTTTCTTTTCCTAAACCAGTAATCTGATAAGATACTGTAAGCAAAAGTGATACCTGCATCATCCCGTGCTGCACCAGTGCTCACTGAGCAGTTAGTTCCATTAAACAACCAGAAAGTCAGTGACTGGGCAGCAACATCCTCTAAACCACTCTTGGATTCTCTAACAGCCAAAGCAAATGACAGAAAAAGGTCCATCCTTAGGCTGTATGTACTACAGATCATCAGGAAGCCCAGTTTCAATCCAGGGAAAACAATGACCTGTCCAAGGGCTTTTTTAAAGACTGTTTTAGCCCCAGAATCTTATTTTCAGTGTAGAGGCCGTATCACAAATTAAGTTTTGTCCTACCAAATGTAAAGAGCCACAGCTCCTGCTCTTGGCTTACTGTCTTTCAATGAATAATGGATCTCCCATGCTGGGGATTCTTTCTGCATCTGGGAAACTTACAGATTTGTATTAGGAAAATAGGGCGACATGGTTCATTGCATTACTTTATGCATCTGCTTAATTCAATCTATTGGTTTTCAGTGTTTGCACATATCTCTTATGTCCACTGATGATACAAAGGCACCGGATTCATGCCCGGAACTGATGACAGCGAGATTGGCAGAGGGTCCTGGCCTAAGTGTCTCTGGGTAGAGCGATGCTCAGGTAGCACAGAACAGAAGTATCTCTGTGACTTGAGGCACTGTTCTGGAGAGATGGGCTGATGATAGGGGTCATACCAGAACAAGCATGTAGGTGCAACAGACAATTTGAAACCAGTACATCTCTTTGTTAAGTAAGAGATTTTGATGCAAGTCTGGGCCGTTCTCAAGAAAAACTGAATGCAAAGAGGTCAGTAACATCCCAGTACATAAGACAAAGTCTTTCTTGCTATCCTGATAATGAAGGAACAGAATAAACCCAACAGGGGAAAAAAATCCACCACGTTTCTACAGGTAAGCAATTAAAATAGTCCTAACGCCTTGGAACAGTATTGCCAAATTACTATACCGGATGGTCCTTTCTCCAGCTTCCGCAGCAGAAAGAACATGGTTCAAAAAAAAAAAAGAACAACAACAAAAAAACCCACACACAAAAAAACAAACAAACAAACAAAAAAAAACAACAAAAAAACACAACAAAAATCACAGCATCACAGTAACAAATGATAAGGGTGAGGAAGAATGTGAGAACACCCTGACACAACATGGACTCTTCATCAGTTCCTGTTCGATTTTCATCTGACTGGCTGCTACAGGCACAGTAACATTTTTACAGCTAGTCTGTTCTTTTCTCTCAATAATCTGCATCAAAATTGCTTATACTTAGCTCAGTAATACTTGGGCCATTGAACACACAGAAACAGCAAGGACAGTACAGGAATTCAGCTGTACTGAGGAAAATTCTAATCCTACTAAATTTGGCAGCACAAATCTCTTACATAACCCGTGATTTAAAGGACAGTCTGATCATCTGGGAACATTAATGTGTCCTTCTCAGTACATTAAACAAAAATGGCAACTTTCGATTACAGATTTTCTTTTATTTTTCACTGCACAATGACTCAGGAAAGGTGTCCCATGACAATGAGACATTTTTAGAATCAACAGAAATGCTTTTTTATGACAATTCAATTATACTGAATATGTATATAAATTTAAAAGCTAACTTTAAGTGCTTCTTTGCCAAGATTGCCTTGAACTGTGGTGCATCTCAGACATGCAGGAGAGGGCTTGTGATCTAAATTTAAAGCAACGGGTCTCCATAACAATGCTTGGAAAATGGGCTTTTCTGAAAGTTGACTGGTACATTAACAAATTTTACAGATTGCAGGAACTGAACCTCTCACAAGGCTAAGATGGTTTGAGAGCTACAGATGGAAGATCCCCAGCCTGTACAAACCACTATAACAAACCACTGTTTGTATCTACTATTAAAAAAAAAAAAAACAAACAAACAAAAAAAACCCACAAAACACAAAACCAAACACACCCCCAAAAACCCCTGTCCTTTTCCAGCAAAAATACATTCTAACATGCAAAAGCAGCTGCCCAGAAATAGGATACAGGTGCATAAAAGCTCTATTAACAAAATAACTATGAACAAAGAATCATATTATTTAAATCCCTGTTGTTCTTAAATCAGTTACAAAATGAGGTAAGAATTTATTCAGTGCCAACATTTACAGAGTGCAATAAACATTCAATTCATACCATGTATTCAGGAATTACACACAGTAATGCTTTTGAAATAAAAATACTGGCAAGTTTTAAGAAGACAAAAAAAGAACTTTTATTCAAGGAATAGCAAAAATCAACCAGTCTTATAGAACACACCCCTAAAGGGTGAAGAGTTCAGAGACTGTCAGAGAACCTACCACCTAAAATTGCCACACACTCTGCGGAAAGCACCTGCTGCATTACGTGAAGTCAATTATAGACATTTTCTTTTCATCCATACAAAGGATACGCTATAGAAATGTACACTAAAATTAGAATTCCTTGATGTGTTTGGAAACAAGTGGCCACCACCACGTGGAAATAAGTTTGCAGGCTGCCAGCTATCACCAGCTAGATGATCCACATACCTCCATTCCATTGTTAACGTAAGTGCAGCTTTTAAAATTAAGAGCAGCAGTATTCCTCGTTTAGGGGACCCAGCTCATTACACTATCCTAACCAAGTTTCTTAGTAGATATAAAATGCTGAAAAGAATTACCATTTTAGCAACTGCAGAATGTCAGCACATTTGGAACAAGAAACTATGGTGACAAATACTCAATAATGGATAGTTAAGGGTGACAGGAAATGTCAGGCAACCCCCTTTTGTGGGCTACTTACAGCACAACTAGAGTGTAGCAGGAGCTAAGAGCAAAGAGAATAACTATATCCCCAGTATTCTTTTCTCCCACTAACACAATGAAAGAACAGCGATTTTTCAGTTTCCATTAGTCATGCAGTTGTCTTAGTAATAGATATCAGAACAAAAAGAAACCTAAACCAGAATATCTATTCATAGGGAAATTCCTATTGATAGCTTTTCTATTACAGTTGAAAAAAAGTTGCAAAAGCATAAGAGATTGCCAAGAGGAGATTGCTGGGAGGAGTAAACACTTAAATAGGTCTAGTTACAACCACACCATGAATTAAGAGTACCATTTTTTTCCCTTAAAATGCATGCCCAGTGAACACTTACTGCTCTCCATAACAGAAAATGCTTTCTTATGTAGAAACTAACCAAAGGACAAAAGAAATGCAGAGCCACACTCAGCCTCTCCTGTTCAGAGAGGCTCACCAAGTCTTACATCAAACCAGTGCTGAAGAGAAGGCAGCTTGTTTTGATCTTTCAAATTTGACATGTATATAAGCAATTACATCATAGAATTAAAGAGTCAGTTTCAAACCAACAATTTAAAAGCAAGACTAATTTAGGAAATTATGAGACTGAGACTTGGCATTAGAAATTGATGCTTGTTATTTTATTGCCTTGGGCCACCAGATGCAGTATGTAAAGACTCCTTAGAGGCTAACATGAGAATAGCTAATCAGTCTTACTGCTAAAGTAAGAATTGGTAGAATAACACACTAGATTTCAGTAGTTTAACAATTTGTCATTTAACTAACCCTACTGTAGGCAGAAACGAAGTTTAACAGGACAATTGCATTAAAATCTGAAGAGCAATACTTAGAAGGGAGGATGTAATAGTCTGGAACGAGAGTAATTATAAATACCTATAAGCATAGAACTAAATGAAGATACTACTTTAATGAGGTGATACAAGCTCATAAGTTATTCATCTATAAATACTACTATCAGACAAGCAGAAGACTCAAGCTACAACAAAAGAATAAAAATGTTAATCTCAAAAGATCTGTGTTATGATTTTAACATAGTTTCAACCTAACCACTAGGATCTTCTCATTCACTTTGAACCGTATCTGTTGCTGCAAACCATTACCTTTAAATATCAGTTAACATTAGTGCTAAAACAACAAAAAACAAACACTATATACATTCCTAGGCAAACAATCAGGATGTCTTTACATCTCATCTCATTCCCAGTAAAGGTATTATGTTCCAGGAAGTAATATTCACAAATTATTTTAGGGACAAGTTACTGTACAAAGACACAGAAGTTCATAAAAAGACTAGTCAATACGATTAAACAGAAGTTTGCTTGTAGTTCTTCGTATCCAACACCTTCTTGCCACACATTGAGCAGATGCCTATAAGCACACAAAAGGTGTGTAAATTATTTTAAAATCATTAGTTTTTCTTCAAAAACATAGTTGCTATGTTTTTGCAAAGATAACTTTCAAGAAATTGTTTAAATGAGCTCTCATTGACAATCTATTTGTGCATTTTCTCACCAGATATTGCAAATTCAGAAGTAATAATACGACTTCTAATACAAATTAGTATTTGTAGCATATGTGTAATACTGCCATTAAAAAAACAAGCAGCTCTATTTTGAGAGCATTATGATTCACAACACTGCCCGAGGCCTCTGTAATTTGCTTGAATACTGGAAAAGAGTCAGAAAAGGCTCCCAATCCCATCTAGCAAAAGGTAAAACCAGTGTATTATTAAATCTTTAAGTCCTGTACCCAAACCAAGGCCCGAGATGGACAGAAAGTAGCTAGGCTAAGCAAACACCATCACCAACAAACTGACTGTTAAACAGGTGGGGTGCTTCAGACAACCAAGAAAGTTAAGAAGAATACGGTTTCACAGAATTAAGCTATTTATAGAGTGGTAGAAGTGAGAAACAGTGGGCACCAAGAATACTTGAGAATTGAAGTGAAGATGACCACTGATGTCCCAGAGGGCTTTGGCCTAAACCCAGAGTGGCAAGTCAGAAGACTAGAGCAGCAAAAAGTCCTCAAGTTTGGCAGGGGCTATCTCAATGTTTTCCTTCTTCTAAAGCAGAATGGTGCTAAATCTTTTGTCTGGCAGGGCCACATCTTGTTTTACAAGACCATTCATCAGCAGATAGAAAAAAAAATGTCAAGAGGCATCTATTCCTGTTAATTGTCTCCGAATCATGTGCTTTCATATATTGACATCATGTAACTGGACACATATCTAAGAGTCCATTAGGAAAGGGAACAGCAGGGATCACGTCACATGATTTACTTTGGAGAGCAAAATCCAGCCCACAGGCTGTTCACTTCAGGTCTAAGTTAAGAGTACTTAACTTTAGAATGCCTCTCAATTTCAGGTGTTCAACAGCTGAAGCACTAAGTCATATGACATTTGCTTCAAGAAACAGGCCACAGCCATGTATCTGATGGTCAGAACCAGAACCTAAAGCACTTAAAGTAGTGAATTTTATGAAGAAAACAGATTCAACCTGTAAGGATACACAAGCAAACAAAAATGAAATCCTGAAACCTTCCCAAACCAGTTTAAGAAAGAGAACAAGGTTCTACCATATAGGATTCAAGCAGCCATCTGGTGAGCATCTACCAGCTAGAAAAGGCAACCCTCCTATCGCAGGCTGCTAAACCACTGACTCGGTGACACAGTGCACATTTATAGAAGAATTAAAAGTAATTTCATAAACGAAACCTTCTACCGGTTAGCTGTAGCTCTACATCTAGCAATTGGTTCACCCATGTCTGTGTGCTATGTAGATTACTCAGTATTAATAATGTAACTGAGTTCATGTTTTTTTTCCCCTCCAGGAATTACAAGTTTGAGCCCTTTTGCTTACCTACTCAAAAAAAAAAAAAATCACAAGACTACTAAAAGTTTTATATCATTAACGCTCTCTAGATTTGCTTGAAATTGATTTTTTTTTTCCCCTGAGGAATTTTTGAACAGTTCTTAATAATACTGAAGACTTATTATGAATATGTAAGGTAGAAAGCTTCCAGGTATAAGCAGAATTTCAGTGCAGTCATTCATACATAACTCATAAGTACAGAAAGATTTTATATCCTATGTACTGCACAGTGCAATATCTTGCTTTCTAGGGACAATGATTATATTCTTCCTTTTCATTTTTCAGTTCCACCTTAAGCCAAGCTTGACTTACAATGCATCAAGCATGTTCACAACTGGACCAGACTCCTTCTAAAGAAATAAACCTTTCAATGGCTTACTGAATGCATAAGAATACATGCAGGCACAAAGCCAATCAAGAGCATGATTTGCCTTCAGAGATACTTTAATTGATTTTACAGTTCCATTTTTTTCTCTTTGCCTTTCATTCCCCAGATATTCTACTTTTGTTAAGCTAGCCTATTGCTTTACCAAGAGCAGAAGTTGGAATTTATATTGTTTTGTGGGGGGTTTTTTGGGGGTGGATAGGCTTGGGGTTTTGATGTTTTTTTTTTTTTTTTTTTAGTGGAGACCACTATTTAGAGTTTTAGATTTAGCTAGTATAGAAATGTGAGAGGGGAGAAGGGAGCAGATGAGGAAATGCAACAAGCAATTGTGTTTTACAAAATCTCATTGAAATAAAAAAAAAAAAAAACAAACAAAAACAACCACAAGATAAATCAAACTTGCTAGGTGACAGTTTTCTTCACAACTGCCAGAATTAAGCTTACAGTTACTCTTCCAGTTCTACTGCTTTAGATACCAGAAGCATTCTAAAAGAAGCAGAATCACAGAATGACCAAGGTTGGAAAGGATCTCCAGCAGTCTCTATTCCTGCCCCTGACCCACTCAAAACATGGCCAACTTGGATGACACTGGCTCAGGGCTTTTCAAGTCAAGCTCTGAATACCTCCCGCAGAGATTCCACAACCTCTGTGGGTCCCTGTTATTACAATATTTGACCACCCTCAAGGTGAAAATTGATTTCCTTGTATGCAATTAGAATTTTCCACATTCTAACCTGTGTACATTGTCTCTTACTCTATTACTGTGCACCTCAGAAGAGTCTGACTCCATCTTCTCTGTGGCCTCCTAGTAGTAGTTGAAGGTAGCAATTAAACCATATCTTAGCCATCTCTTTGTAAAACGAAACAAATTCAAGAGTTCCACTTGCTCTCTAATTTCAAATCAAACTGGGGTAATTTGGTACTTGGTGAAACTCACCTTTTTTATAGGCACATCCTTGACAATAGTGAGACCCTGGCTGATGGACAGAACTCTTACAAATCCGACATATGGCAAATTTGTTCTTTCCATAAGGATCAAACCTGGGAAAAATTAAAATTATTTTATTTATACACCTGGAGATAAAGCATTTCCTCTGCCTCATCCTAAGAAGTCTAAGCCAGAGTGCACAAACAGAAACTCCAGCAAAAAACAGAATTCAGAAAAGGGACATACGAGGATTATTTCTAATAGGCTGCACAATGTTTACAGAAAAACTCCCACTTTCCTCATCAAGAGAGATTTCTTGCATTATGGACAAAAACTTAACAAAAGCAAAATTAAAAACGTGTCTTTTTATGAAGATACTAGACTATTTTGAACTTGAACACCTTCTAGTAGCGCCCTGCCCCCTTGCGTAACAGAACATCCCCTAGATGTTAAGGAAATGCTCAAGAGATTATACCAGTAAGCCTTCCCAGCCTCTCTCCTAACAAAAGCATCAAACCCTAGCAATTTAATTGAGAACTGCAGTAAAATAGCTGCCCATGTTCTATGGTTCAGTAGAAAGCACCCCTGAAATATGTATGGGCACACTTTTACCAATTAATCAAATATAATCCCCACAGATATCTTTTTTCGTAAAGGAAAGTATAATTTGGACAAGTTTTGAGCAGTTACCCACATATGCAGGTAACAGGCCTCAGTTGCAGCAAACTGACTTTTGTAGCCAAAATCAGTACGAACCTTGCCTTCTTTGAGGTCAACACCTTGTTTTCATTTAACTTGCGGCCACCACTTTCTACAAAAAGAACAGAACCATACACTAATAAACTTCCCAGTTCTAAGCATACTTTAAAGGTCTTAGTTTACAGCTTTTACTTATACATGTGCAAATGAAGCCAGAAAGAGAGGTAAAACATGTAACACAGCATTAAAGCACAGGACAGCAGAATACCTTGTACTGTGCTTTGTTTGCATATCGTCATTCCACATATGGAGAAAAAAACCCTGGCAAACAACACTGAAAAGCGCCGGATAAATTCCCAGTGCATTAAGTTAGCATAGGAAGGAAACTACGGAAGTTAAAAATTAACCTGATTAACTATTATAGCTTTTAGCCTTAAGACTGTAAGATAGCTCAGGTACCCACCTGGCTTTAGGATACCTAAAAAACAAGTGTTCAACCTCCCCGAGATTACCTGTAGTGTTTCTTGCGCCATCTTTCCACGTATCGGGAGTGATCACCGTACCAAGTTTCTTCTCACCTACGCAAGAAAACATTCCAAAGGAAAAAAAAAAAAATCAAAACCACACCTACGTTAATACTCACAACCAGCGCCCAGACATTCCCGCAGCCGCCAACTACAGCCCGCCCCGGGCCCCGCAGCTGCTTTGCTGTGCTGTTCTGTTCTGCTCGGCTGAGGGGACGCCCGGGACCCCCGGGGGCGAAGGCAAGGCCCAGCAGCTCCCCCGACCCACTCACACTTCTCGCACACCATGGCGTCCCCCTCCACCACTACCACAACCACAACCCGCCGCTTCCGGGCGCGCCCCGGAACTGACGCGCGAGCGCCGCCGGTTTCCGTTGTCGGGCGGCCCCGGGCGCGCACCGCGGCAGCGCTGCGGTAAGAGGCGGGAAGGCACCGGCACCTCCCGCTCCCGCTCCTGCTCTCCCCTCTCCCCCCCCCACCGCCCGGGACAGGTGCCGCGGGGCGAGGACCGTCAGGAGGCCGCCCCGCCGCCGTCTCCCGGCTGAAGAGGGAGCGGCGAGGAGGAGGAGCCGGGCCTCGGCCCGGGCTCGGGAAGGGCTGAGGCGGCTCCCTCGTGCCAGGGAGCGCGCGGGGCGGTGTGAGGGCTGCTGGTGCCGGTACGGGGGGCAGGGGCAGGCCGCCTACTCGGTGCCAGCGCTCCGCTCGCCTAGCTCTCGTAGCGCCCCGCTGCCGTTTCCGTGGGTTTGGGGTTGGTTTTTTCAAAGGCTAGGCGTTCTTCTGCCTCAAAAGAACCCTTTCTGCCCCCAAACCGAGCTCGGAGCTCAGCCGTGTATGCGGCGGCCGGGAGAATGCTTACCCTGTAGCGCTGCTGCTGCCGCCGCCGTGTTTCAGTAACGGGGTGCGACTTGCTGTCTTGCAGGTGGCCGGTTCGTAGGGAACACAATGAAAGAAGGAGAAATAAGGAGGCTTTTGGCTGCCAACTTCCTCTGTGTTTTTTCAGTCATTCTGACAGCAGTTGCTCCGGCTTTCTTCTGGGACGGATTCACAGTTCTGGGGACACACCTCACGTGGTTGTGTATTTGTTCTGTTTCTGTTAGTACCGTTAGTATAGTATTGCACTTAGTCCTTAAACCAAATCTGTCTCATAAGAGAAGTTCGTTTGCTCACAAGGTAAGATTTTTATTCTTAAATTGCTACCAGACAGTATGGAGGGGAAGCAAATTCTTTCACTGAAATAATCAAGTGAGAAAGAAAGGTGACAAATTTTGGTGGTGAATACTTGTTTTCCATGAATGAGCTGGGCGTAGCACCTTTTGAAATAAGTTCTCCAATACTTTTGTGATACGAGACTTTCTCTACCTGTAAATAACCTGTTCAGGTGGGTGATTCTGTGCCTTTCCTTTTTCTTGTCAATATATTGCTTATAGTCCCAGCTGTTAATTTTCTGACAGTTTGCGTGGTGGCAAAAATTTGCAAAATTGAATGGGCACAGAACTCATTTTATAGTCCAGGCTTGACCTTCAGCTTTATGAAGAAACACTTTTCTCACATGTAGTTGTAAGTTTGTAATAACTTCAAAGGAAGATAAAAAATTTTTAGAATTTGAGACATAAAAGAGGAACTAGCTCATTAAAATTTAAATGAAGTTGGTAATTTTTTTTAAAATCATGTGGAATGGTACTAAAATGGCTCCATTTCCTTGAACGATGACATCTGCATACAGGAAAATCTACATCTGGGAGAAAATTTTGTAGTTGTAACAGGAGCATTAAAGGTATGAATCCGAATGAACTATGTTTGAACAGGGTGAATTTGGAACAGCACACAACTTGTCCAGGAGTGGGAGAATACACCAGCGTTTGGACGTCAGGTGGATAGCCTTGCACCCCCAACTTGCCTGGTCAGACAACATTTAGTCCTCTGGCGTAGTGATTCTTAAACATTTAAGAAAGGATCCCTGAAACCAGTATCTTTGTATACAGAGCTTCTGTCTAGTTTTGCTGACTGAGGGCAATGTGAAATACACAAAATCATTATGGAAAACAAGTATTTTAACCACCTGTGATTTAAAAATTAAGAAGGCTTTGTGTTCTAGGTGAGATTTTATCACAGCCTAGCATAAAGAATATCAAAACCAAAAAAAGTGCTCAAGTAAAATGATGGATTTCCATTGGTGACCTGATGAGAACAAACCTAACCAGAACTTTTTATCAAGTGGCTATGTTCTGTATGATATACTGAGTACTCAGAAACTGTTGTTTAAATTCCTAGAAAATTATATGCGTTTTGCAGGTTTGTAGGAAGTCATGGATGCTTGTCAAATGGATTTAGAACTTAAGATGCCATGTTCAAAATGTAGTGGCTTTTATTTCATGTTGTTTCAAGTACTACATTTGATTCCGAATGTCTCTTTTAGTATTACATATTTTCTTGCTTTTAAATATTTTTTTTTCACTTTCTGTGAAAGATGCTTTTTTATGAATGGGCATAACACTTAGATGTAAAACAGAAATGTAAAAATATTCAATAAAATTATCTCTGGTTATCTTGTCACTTCCAGTTATATTTTTTGTATGTTTGCCTTATTATACTAGGGTGCATGACAAAAGTTTAGATGGGATTGTGATCATTTTTAATTAATTATTTAAAGTGTTAGACATAAGGAAAACTGTTTTGAAATATGCCATGCTATTATCATACTGCGCTGTAGCTGAAATTCTAGAAATAGAGTACAATGCTGTTGGTAAGGTATAGACTATTAATGTTACTTATGTTTTCTTTTTTTTGGAAACTTTATTCTGACATTTTATTGCTCTTTTTTTAGATATCCAGATTTCTAAAATGCTGTGTATACTTTTTCATGTCTTGCATACTATTTCATGCGATTATTGTTCTTTATGGAGCACCTCTCATAGAGTAAGTCAGAAGACCCCATCTTTCTCTAAACATTTTAAGGGGCAGTTCTCCCTGCACGTATTGGTATAACTACTTGTCTGTTTCCTGGTACATTGGAAGTTAAAGGATAAGCTCCTGGCTGGGGGAAGAAGGATGGCTGTTTTGGTTTTCTGTTTGTTTTTGTTTTGTTTTGTTTTAGAAGCTGGCTACTACAATTTCTTTATATTTCGAGACTTGTTGTTCAAAACAGTTATAAAAAACTCACTTTAATATTTGTTAAACATACGGATACAAACATTTTTCCCTAGTTTCATGTAGTCATTTTCCCCCCTAAGATTCTAAAACATGCATCTTGCGTATCTTTCATCCTTTTGTTATGAGTGTTTTAATTTTTAGGAATGATTTAAAAAGAAAAAAAAAAAAGTCATGAAGCAGCCTGAATTCTGAGAGAGATACTAAGTTACTGACTGACAATGGCATCATGTAGTTTGGGTTCATGGTTGCTTCCACAACATCAAGCTAGAAGAATAAATGGAATAATGAAGTAAATATCCAAGCATACTTCAATTCAGAACTAATGTATTATATGAGGTACAGCTGTGGTTTTTTAAAATATTACAGGTGTCAGGCATTTAAAATAATTGCTGCATTTCAGTCTTTGTTGAGATAACAAACAGATAACAGAATTCTTCCCATCTTTCGTTAATATTTTACAGAGTAAGAATAAAATGCCTTCTTCTTCTACATTTTTTTTATTTATCTTCTACTTCCTTTTTTTCAAGAAAGCATGCGTGCTTTCACAAGTTGACTTGTAGGGAGATTTTTTTTTTCCAAAATCTTGGAACTCTTAGAAAATTAGTAACTACCTCACTTAATTTTGTAATATTCCTTCTTTATAGGTCAGTGACTGAGACATTTTTGTTTGCAGTTCTCCTGTCTACCTTTACTACTTTACAAAGCTTGTGTATGCTGGGACCAAACATACAAGCATGGATACGAGTATTTAGTAAAAATGGGTAAGTTCTATTCTAAAGTTTCCGATTTTACCTAGAATATAATTGGACAGAATTGATGTAAACAGTATACCGTGGAATTTTTGGTAAAGAAGGAAAACTTCCTGAATAACGGGTGTTTTTAATATTTGTAGTTACAAGATTATGAAAGCTTTTCTGACAAAGACTACTATTTATTTTGATGGCTCTGATTCAGGAAATTGGCTTTTTATTTTTGGTGTCCAGACGCTGAATCTCACTTTATGTGTGTTTGAAGGAAGTAAAGTTTCAAACGCATGTTTTACTGGTGTAAAACCATTGTGCCATCCAGTATGATGTTTGTCAAATAAAGAGGAGACCTGAGATTGACCTGTATAGTGAGAATCTTGCAATAGTGCCTTTGTGAATACAGCTTTTAAAGTAGGAATAATAAGCCAAAACAAACACTATTTTAACGGTATTTTTAACTTGAAAATATAATGGTAAAAATTATATATAATTTTCTGTGGTCTTAAGTATGTAATCTTTATCCACGTTCTTTTTCAAACTTCAAAGAAAGCTGTTTTCAGTGTCAGTTTTCAAGCTTTTTTTTTGTTTTTTCAAGAGTACGTTTAAAGTAAAATGAGCCTTTTTCCCTCATTTTCACCTCAGTGACAGCCATGACATTAGCATGTATCAAGGATAATGTATTTTTCAGAAGTATTCTATCTCTTCTGCCTTTATTTACTCTCTAAATAACAGGATTGTTCAAAGACTGAGATGCTGAAACATAAAGAAGTCCCACGTATGCTTGAGTTTTAATAATAAGATATTAGCATTCATTCCCTTTTACTAGTTCATAAGGGTGAAGTCTCATCTCAAAAGGAATTGAAAGGTTGCATAATGATGCTGACCTGTGGAGTTACTTTTGATTTAAACTTAACTAGAGGAGGACAGAAGTAGACTTCTTATTGTAGCTTCAGGTATTGACTTTTGGTTTATCTCAATTCTCAGCTTACTGAAAAATATCTTGAATCCTCATTCAAATCAGTTGTGCTTGGTTTTTTATTTTTAGTGGAGGGGTTGAATAGACTTTAATAAAAGCATGCAGTTGTTTAGCCAAAACAAATCATTGCTGATTCACTTAGTCATCTTTGGAGGTTTTGCAACTGGAAATAATAGTTGAATTGAAGTAACAGATGTTTGACAACAGTCTGTCTTTGTGCCACTTTAGCTTTTGAATGCCTGTCAATTTCTTTCTTTCCTAGTCTAGATTTTAACATTATTTCAGCACAATTATTGCATAGGAAACAGAGTTGTCTTGATGTTTTTGTGTGACAACTTGTACATACTTGTTACTAGTGAGCCATGTGACATTATTGGAATAAAATGTCTATTTAATGATGATGTTTACTTAGACTAGCCTTTGAATGAAAGTAGACTGCAAAGAAATATTGTAGCAATTTTTTTTATGGATTGTGGCAAGCTGCTTTTTTAAAAATAATCCTGTGTTTTTTTCATTTGACCTCATGAATGAGTTGAAACGTGTTGCGTTTAGGTGTGAGCTGAGTGTAGACAGGATCTATTAAAAGGTTGTCTCTAACTTAACTGTGTGGAATGAGGTGGTGGGACTAGTTGAATAGAGGAAAAGGATGGTTAGGTAAGATCAACATAGCTGTTTGCCTTGAAAGAAGAGGTTAGTGAATGGAACTAGACTGGAACAGCAAGCTGAAAAGTCTGATTAAGCATTTAGCTTAGTATGAAAAAGGAATGTGTTTTAAAAATATCTGAATACAATGTAGACTTAAGTAACAACTGGCATTTCTTTTTGTTACTCATTTGCCCGTGCAGTATTTATGAGATCAAAATGTGCTTGTGCTATTGCCTTTGCAGAAAGACAGAAAAAGACATCCAGAAAAAAAAAAAAAAGTTTATCTTGATATATCAAGTGTAAATAAGTAACAGTTATTAATTACCTAGCTGTTGCTCTGAATAGCTTTTTGCTCTGAGGTGGTCTAGTGTGAAAATACTAATTCGCGTAATGTTGTAGGACTATTCATTAAGTTACATTCAGGTAACTTGTATGTAATACATTGCATCATAATAGTTATGGTCCGACTTACATATTTTGAGGATTATCTTGCAAAGTGCTTATTTCTTCTGCAGAGATGCTTAGCTTTCTCTGTTTCTACTTGCAGCACTTGGGAGTGCAGTGACTGCTAGTAAAATCACTTCTAATAAGATTACTACAAGAAAAGTCTTTAACTGGCCATGCTTCTAGGAGGTGAATTATATGCACCATCTCATGATATCACGTAATTGTGACACTGCAGGTTTATTGTTTGTATTACAAAGTTTGGGTTGTTGGTGGGGTGGAGGGGAGGTTGCTTGGTTGTAGTGGGGAGGGGGGCGGTTATACGTATATATATATGTAACAGTTGCATAAAACACAGTTGTAGCTCAGACAGGAAAATGCACATGTTCCACATCTTCAAACTGTACAGTTTTGAATTTGAAAATGTCAATTTGATGGACCAAATATATTCTTTTTTTAAAATAACCTTATTCTAAGAAACTTTAACAATTTGTTCTTACCCACATATTTATAGTCTATGTACACACAGAATGTGTGAGAAAAGTAAGTTTGTGTATTCTACATCATAAAAACTTCAATTCTCAATAGGCTGTAAATATGGCTCTTTTCACTAATTCAGCATTTGAGAAGGGGTGGGCCCATGCCAGCTATCTCTGGACTCCATATTCTGACAACTAGTGTTGTGACCAATGTCATGACACTGATCGTATGCTATCATGGGCTGCTGTAAGAGGGAAATAAAAGCTACAGAAAGGGTTATTTGCACTACTGGAAGCAGGTGACTATTCTTTAAATGGATTTTCAGTAATTGTTGGCTGAAATACCCTCCTGCATAAAAACCTTTAAGAAATCTGTTTACAGTTGCTGATTTTTATTGCTTCTTTTGGAGGCTGTTTGTTTCAAATCGCTAGTCTGAGTAATTGTGTTGAAATTTCTGGTATAACAGCAATTATAGGATGTCACCTGGGTAGAAAATAGATTTTATTTGGAGCTTGCCAAAAAATGGTACAAAGCCATAACTTTAGGGCTCTTTCCAGTTTTCATTTCATCTATTTTATCACTTGTTTGTGAACTCCATATTCTTACAGACTTAGAAATGTCCTTTGTAAAGGTAGGCATCATCAAATACGAAGTGCTGCTTAGTATTTCACTCCTGCCACAGCCAAAACTTCTAGATCTTGTCTATCCAGGAGCTTAGTCAATTCTTTTATGTTAGCTAACCTCTTAAACTAAACATTACTTAAAACAACAGTTAATGTATTGTATTATTTAAAGGAGTTAAATAATGAATTTAGGCTTTAAAAGGCATTTGTGCCATTAGTGATCATTTATTACCTTAAATATTGATAGTTTTGCCTGCAGAATGATCTTAGTTGTAGTTTACTCATAGTTTAAAAGTAAATTTATAAAACTCAAAGTTTATAAATGTTGCAGTAGTTGTTAGCTTCATACAAATGAGGGGTTTATGTGATGGGTTAATGGGTTAAAGAATACTTCAGAAGTCCCAATAGGTGACATTCCATGAAGAAAACAGAATAATCGGGGCACTGTTCTTTTGTTATAAAATTGGAGGACAAGTCAGGTTGTATTTGAGTAGCCGGTGTCCATGCTGTAGAGTGGTTGAATTAGCAGCTCAAGTGGTTGCCAAACTACCAATGGCTGTTCTTCACTTGGGCACTATGCCTTGCTAATTCTGTTGTTTTGCTTTTGGATTCAGTCTGGTTATCTCCATATGGTGCAGCAGTATGTGCAGATAAGATGTCCTATGGGGTATAAATGTACCTCAGTCAGTCCTCAGTATATTCTGCTGGCTCTTTCACTGTTTGGAGGCTGTAGTGAATGTTCTATTCCCCGTGCTGCCTAACAGCTCTCTGCTCAGTTATTCAGACAATTCTTGTAAATTATTTTCAGAAGCTATGTGTAGACTCCTAAACAACGTTATAGTTAAATCAGGACCTTTCCTTTTTAAAAAAAAATTCAGACTGGTAGGACTGTGAAGTGAAATTAAGTGTTTTTAGTTAAAGGGATGGGATTATTGTAGAAGAAATAATTCTGCTCAAAATGTCAGTGTTGCCCCATAAATATTATAACCTGACCTTTATTTTGCAAACAATGAAAAATGTTTGCTTTATACTTGTGAGCCATTTGATCGATAGCAAATGCAGCAGTGAGTTTGGTATACTCAGAAGTTAGAAATTTTAGTCTCTTCAAGACAAGGTGTGAGGTTAAAGCTTTTATGACATACAACCCAAACAGCACATGTGAAGTTCACAGCATACTATCCATCTAGTCTTCTAGCCATAAAAATGCATGTTTTTTTCTTCTGTTAGCTAAAGCTAGGTTTGTCTTTATAATCTTAGATGTACCAAATTTAAGATTCAGATCTCTTATCTTATTGATTTCGAGCAGAGATTTCAGCCCAGTTCTCCTGTCTCAGAACTGTGCCTTACTGTGTCCTGAACTTCTGCTGTTTTTTCTTAATTGGTACCAAATACTCAAAATGTTCATGGCTTGAGAAAAGCAAAGCAATCACTTGGTAGACTGATAATGGACAGTAAGTGCTTATCGATCAAACAGAAACCAAACTTTTCTAAAACTTTTGAAGTCAGTAGTGGTAGAAAGCTGTAAGCTGAGAACTGAAGTCATTAGCATCTCTTATGGTATGATATGTGCCATGATTGGCAGTACAAAGAGTTCTTCAGTGTGCAGTAAATTTATCCTGCAGCCAGCGTACTTGAACTTGGATGCAGTGTTGCTGAAGGACTGCAACATGCAGGTTACATTTATTTGCAGAGTTTCTTTTCAGCTGATGGAAATTTGCTTTGGAATATTCACACAGATTTCTATTTTAAATTTCAAATTGTTGTGGTCATCAAATAATAACGTGTCTACACCATGGAGTATCTTGTGACTGTACTTGCGTTTTTCTATACAATCCCATGCTACTCTTTCATGTCTGCTTCTCCCTGCAATGCACACAGTATCATTATGATATTTTCATTTGCTCAGCCAAGCAGTGTTTCAAGTTCAATAGGAGTATTTCCAGATAAAATAAATTAGCTTTTGCAGTAAACATCTCAAGGGGAAGAAAATCTCCTGAATGTATGGTATAGAAAGATTGTGATTATAGCTAAAATATGCAACTTACACTTTACATATAGTTTGTATCTTTTAGGAGAAACCTACATGCTGTTTATCAAATATATAGAATTTTATATCTGTTTGTAAGCTCAAAAATCTTGGGAGAAATCAGATGTAACATTCTGACATGGTAACTTTTGCTGCTGTTGAAAACTTGTAAAACACTGTTTTTACAGAGCTCTGTCCATCTGGGAAAGCAGTCTACAGATTACTACTGTGTGCAGTCTACTTGGAGCTTGGTTTGGAGCATTTCCTATTCCTCTTGATTGGGATCGGCCTTGGCAGGTTAGTAGGTACACCTTTATCATAAACAAAAATACTAATTTTCTGCATATGCACACTACACAATTGCTCTGAAAGCTGTACAGGCATATTGGACTTACTCAAGCTGTTCCTACACAGTTATGCCAAACATTTAAAAAGTCATTGGAAGCATCAGTCCTTACAGTGTAAGGATGTAAAATACAAAATTTTTACCTTCATTTTTAATAGGCTCTTTGTTACAGATTTATGAGTGTCTGTTGCATGCAAATTTTATCACGAAAAAGAGCTGTAAGTATTCTGATAAGCTAGACAAGTCAGGAGAAAAATGTGAAACAATGAAGACGGCTCCAAGTTTGTTTGCCTTCAGTCTGGTAGCTTTTATTGTTTATGGGTAGGGAAGGGAAGATGCTTTCCTAGTGTTTTAGCTCCCCTCTGTCTTCCATAAAAGCACTTAATAGAATGCATTTTAAATAGATTTGGATTGATTTGTGGAAATGGTCTGGCTAAAGCACTGTACTAAAAACTTACCTTCTGATTTCAAAGGGAGACAAGCATGGAGAAATTATTCCATTAAACATAACTGAAGTCTGCAATTGCCATAAAATGATGACACTAGTAACACTTTTACCTAAGTGTCCTCAGTGGATATTTTCTTTCCTTAACCGTACACACTCAGCTGAGTAGTATCTACCAGGCCTGTTCTTAAGCAGATGGTTTCAAAGGTTTCTTTCAGAAATCAGTGTAACAGGCAACACACTTTTCTCTCTGATATTGTACAGACATTGTGATTTAGAGCTGCAATGGAAATTTGTCTTCCATAAGTAGCTAACAGCTTATTTTTATGCCACCAGCCTTTCTTTACAACAGTGTAATGCGATATTAAAATGTCTGTTGAAAAAATAATAGAGGAGTAAGTTAATACTTTAAGTAAAAAAATCAGGTTTTCTTCCCTAAAACCACTTTGGTTTACTCTTGCAAGATGTTTCACCATCAATGTGACATAGGTATGTGTTGGCACTAGTTAACTGTTGATGGACATGAATGTAACCCAAAAATCAAGGGATTCATTGAAATGCAATCTCGTGTCTTCTTGCAAAGTCTTACTCACTTTCCTGTTCCAATGGGAGGCAAGCACTTTTTTCTTGCTCAGCTAGGATTTTAAAATGGCATGTTACATCTGGCAGGTTTTATTTTATTCCCAAAATCTCAGACTTTGCTACTATACTGTGTATAAAAATTTCACCTTTTATGCACCAATGATAAAAGGAAAACTTAATTATTAAGTCAGTAGGCTCTGATTAACAAAACAAAGACACTAATAGATTAAGACAAATACTAAGTACAGTTAATTTTTTACTTTATTTGTCCATTCCCCCATCGTCCCATAGTAGGAGGCATGAGTTTGGTAATGGTTTGGCAGCTTTTTCTGTTTGAAAACTCTTCCAATTCAATAAAAGCCAAACATGACTGACAAAAGTTAAGCTCTATAATCTATACTTAGACATCTAAAAAGATATTGTCTGACTCCTCAGAACAGCAAAGCATCTGCAGAAACTTCAGATACCATAACTTTTCAGTAGCTGTTTCTGGGCATGAATGCTCCCCCAGAGAATGCAGGCAGCAGCAGAAACTGTGTATCTGCATTTACCTTTTCCTTCATCACCTCCACCCTCATTTCTGACATACTTCTGACACCAAAGTTGGCAGGGGTGTTTCTGACTCAGTTCCTGCATGAAAGCAATTTTCCCGTGCCTAGATCCAGAACATTTGCTGCTGTGTTGTTTCCCCTAAGTTCTTTTTTCCCCATCCCCACTTCTCCATCTTTTACCTTGTTGTGTTTAAAACAGTAGGGTGGGGGAAGAAATCTTGCTTTCCATTTTGGGTTTGAACTGCTTAATCATCACTTTAATTATCATGTGAACAATTCAAGAGCAGCCATAGAGAAGCTTGCTTATCAGTCTTGCAGGCTGCCACTTCAACAGTTTTTGAAAACTGCAGTTTTTAAAAATTTTTAAAGATCTGCTGTATAAGGGGAAATGAAAGAAGTTCTTGTTAATTTGACTTTAAAACTATATTATATTTTATCTCAGCAAAGCAGCGCAGTGAAGCACCAAAATGGTAACAAATCTTCAAGGCAGAAATGAACCTCTTCAAAGTAGTTTGTTAGAGATCCTGTTCACAACTCTCAGAAGTTTTCAATCATCTATTGATAATTTAATATTTTTGCAGAAGTGGTATCTTAAATATTGGTCACCAAGGCACAGAAGAAAAGGCAGGGAGTGGGAAGGGCAGGAAGCGTCCTGGCCAGGCATTTTCAATAGTTGCCCAGGAAACACTGCTTCCCAGTTCAGCCAATCTGAGATACATATGAATCAGGTTATCTGGAAACACTGAACTTCATGCAACAGTTGACATGAGTCTTTTGTCTTTCTATCCCCACTGAGTAGTATGGATTCAATGACACAGGTATTGAGTTCCATGTAGCAGCTCTGCATTACTGCCTCAGAAATTTTCAGAGCCAAGAGACATTTCTTTTATTCTTCAGAAGTTCACTTGGCCTTAGCAATGAAACACCTTTTTGCAAGAGTATTCTGTTTGCTACCTGAGGTCAGGTGATTACAGAAACTCATAGTAGGTTCTCTCATTGTAGCAATGAAAGAGGGGGAGGTGCTTCCTATGTTGTCTTCAGCCTAAGACGGGGAAAGAATGCCCCTCAAAGGATTCTGCTGCTGTTGCAGATCTGCTTAGTTTGAGAAGAAAATCTTTAGTGCAGATTGCCTATCTCCTGAGTGACTGATGTAACCACCGACTTACTGAACATAAAAATACCTGTACATAATTCAGTTGCAGGAAGAGGTTCTTTATTTTAAAATAAATTAAATAAATAAAAAAAATAAAATCCCCTCAAAAGACATGGACTGTCAGTGTTTTGTATAGAACCTAACCCAGCTGGTATGATTATTGGGAACACCTACAGATTAAGTCCCAAACAAAGTCTGAAAAAAAATCACATAGATCCTAATGTAGGGTTAAAAGTAATCAGAGCCCAGTCAAAACCAAATTACTTCTAGGCATCTACATGAATAAAGTATTAAGCTGTCATGCTTTTGACATCAGCTCTTTCTTGTATTAGCCTAAAAGCAGAGAGCTTGAGGATTACAATTTTTGACTTCCTTTATTCGATCTGAGAACAGTGACTCAAATGGAATAGCTTAGTTTTTGGACTCAAGACCAGCTTCTGAGATAAGAACAGGTTTAATTAGTGATTGTTTTCGTATTTTAGACATTTCATTGTAAACAAATTTATTTTTTTTTAAATCTGTAGTGGAAATGGTTCTGCTCTAGAACAGAATGTGGTTTAAAAGTTATTATGTGGGCAAGCCTAAAGTGATACTATCCTTTTAGAGCAGCGTTAAGGCCTTTAAGCCTGTTTGGTAGAAAATCTGGTTCTGATGCTTCTATTGGTCATGGTTAGTGTTTGTGGTGTAACAACGTTAGGGAAACACAGTTGCATTTATACCTTTAGCTACAGATAATTCATACTTCTGTGGAGTAAACTTGGTATGAAATTCATCATGAGTTCCAGTTCCTGTGCTAATGGCTAAAACCAAATTGCTACTTTATCCTGAGTTATTCATAAACCAAAGAAAACATACTGGTTCTTTATGCATTATTCTTATGACACACAAGAAAACCAAGATAAACACATGTCTCAGAAAATCTTCACTTTATTTTCCATATTTATGTTTGAAAAATATTTCATACAGGGGATATTCAGATTAGCGGGCCTGTCTACATTTAAAAGTAATAATGTAAAAATGCATTTTTTTTGTCTGCATACAGCAACTTTCACACTAAGTATTACTTAATAGGAACAGGATATTGTTTTGAAATAAAATTACATTAATTATCTGAATAATGTTTCAGAATGGAAATTAAAAATATATAAAGCATTTCTGTTAGAAATATAACATATACCGCTGAAGGTCAGTTGGTATCCTGATGATTCATTGCTTTTCATTATTCTGTTGTTGTTCCTAAAGTAACTTTTTAACATAATTTGCCTGTGCCTATTGCCCCTCTGCTAGTTTTCAGAAAAATTTATTTTGTAACTATGCAAAACAGTTGGTCAGGGAGGCCTACTCTATGGTTGCTCCTGGTTATAGATCTGCAGAATTAAGCCTATCTCAGACAAAGGTAAAAACAGTTGCCTTACAGGAATGTAAGTTAGTCCCCCACAGTAGTTACATTTCTGTATCTAAAAAAAAAAAAAAAAAAAAAAAAAAAAAAGGGGGGGGGGGCAAAAAAAAACCAAACAAAACAGCCCAAAACAAACAAAAAATCCCAAACTTTTCAAGACTTACTCTGCAAGACATGTTTCAGTTTATTACGAGTGTCAGACTGGTAGAATAATTTTGCCAATGTTTTGAAATTACTAATTCTTAAACAATAGTTTACAACACTTAATTATGATAATTTAAATAAGGCTCTTCTCAATGATGTTCAGAAGGTTTAAAGAGTTGTACATCTGTATCTAGTTGCCTCTATCCTTCTGATGCACAGTGAGTATGTAAAGGTTACGGTTAGTTAAGACAGTTATAGCAAAGAAATAGAAAACTAACTTCCTTTGTTACAGTTGCTCATTTTTTTTAGATTGTCTATTTGGCATTGATGGTGTACTTTTAATAACCACATGTGATTAGGATCCTGGCTTCATGTCTTATCTGAGAAGTGGCACCTTAATGAACAGCATCACTGAAATAGAACAGGATCATTTAGGTGCTACTAGACACATTGTGACACATCCTTTTTCTGCTCAGCCTGATGTAATTTAGTTGCAGAACAAGCTGGTATAATTAAACCTCACAAACCTGCTTTATACGCTGTGGGCCTACTATTCCAGACATCCCATTCACCATTGACAACTGAATTTTGGAAATTGTGAAGTTCCTGGGTTTATTGCATGTTTTGGTAACAGACTTTTAAAACATGTTCCTGGGCTTACTGTGTGCATGCCCACT